CTCTATATGTATCTCCCTATTCTTCACATCATTCTTTGCAATTCATAAGAAGCAAAATATCATCAATGGAATGCTAATGCGAATGTCCATTTCGAACATCTCTGGAACTAATGTCTAACTCCAAAATAATGTCATACATGATTAGAAATGGTGCGACCTGTGAAAATGTGTGTAATAGTCTCCATCTCCGTACAACACTGACGTGGGAGGCCAACTAACAACTAATCCTCCTCTGAATGACCAGATCGATCGACATCAAATCCTACCACAATCTAAAGTAGAAGAAAGAAGTTCTAGTATGCATAATGGTGCTCCATATGAGCCAATATGAATCTTGAGATTGCCAGCTAGAACGGACTAACTGTCAAGCTGACTTGGTAGCAAAACTACCATCAACTGTATCTTCAAATCACCCAATCTAGGACATATGCATATAGAGGTATAGCCCCAATCACCTCAACCATAGATGGTGGTAAAGACTGTGACAGTCGTTCAATATCCCATCATGTACCATCATAAAAGCCATGTACCCTCTCAAATGTGTGCTGTCGATGAGGGATTAATGACGCCAAAGTAGTCTCTCTCATCCAACAATCATGCCGAAGAAAATTTGTCTTACACCAATGTGCCACGTAATCTATGGCTTAGCCTTTAGCCCTACCTCTTTTTCCTCTTTGAAATATGTGAGGCTGAATATGTAACTGCTACTAATAAAGGATGAGTTCCCATGCAATATTTGCCCAGCAAAAATTGAGATTGAGCCCACAATGATCTCTATAAAATTGAAAAGCCACCAAAGTTTCAGAGAAAATGTATCAACAAAGTTATGCAATCTCCTTAAGCGTAGTCCACCTCATCAGTTGGAAGGCAAAGATCATTTCGTATCTTCCAATGTAATCTACTCGATATCCTGTCTCTAGTATAACAACCAGGAGTCGATCAATTGATACTTCTTCTCATTCCCGTCCTTATGAGCGTCCTCACATGGAATGCAAAGAGTGTAGCTAACATAGCTACTCGCGGGAGTCTTAAGAGACTAATTCAACTTCATCAGGTTTTTTTAAGATCTTGGAGTCGTTTCTTCTTTTGGAGAGATTTGATTCTATTCGAATATTTCTTCGCTTCGATATTGGAGTGCAAAATGAGTCGAATCAGACTTGGTGTTTCTAGAACGTAAGTGCCATTACGACTGTACTTGTTGGTCATCCTCAGTTCATTTTTATTAGAGTTGAGGATCCCAAACTAGCACAACCTATTTTTCTATCTCCTATGTATGTTTCATGTTCTCCTTCTCATATAGGAGACTTGTGGGCAGGTCTTCACCATATTTTCCTCAATGTGGAATTTGCGGTAGATATGAGTTATCAGAGGCCACAGAAGTCACGAGGATGTTCTTTGGAATTAAGAGACTCCGCTGACGATGGTTATGCTAAATTGGACTTATATTCTCATAACATGCTAGAACTAATCCTAGAACAACATTATCTTTAGTACTTTTTTTATGGCCTTTGGACCTTGGATTCGTTGATTTCGCTCTTCAATGTGGAAGGTAGTTGTCGTTGATGAAACATTTCTAACCATGAATGTTGCATAATATGCAAATATTATGATTTATTCTCATGCTAATGTAAAGATTTAAATGTTCAGATTTATTCTCATGTTTGGGGTATATTTGATACCGAGAATGATGCATAATGGACTTGTTGTTTGCAAAGTTGAAAGTAGCAACGAGGGATATTGAAGATCTTTTTGTTATATGTGGCCGACATCAAAGTATTATCAATGGAGTGCAAGTTGTCTATCAAAATGTCCATCATGATCATTATGTCTATCATACGAAAGGCAACTTAAGAACCGTAACTCGAAAAATTGAGATTTTCCCACTCTTTAAGAAAGCAGCAGAGACATATATTTTAGAAGAGTTTGAAAATTATATAAGCAAAATTAAGAGAATTGATAATAAAGTTTGGAAATACTTAATCAAAGTACATTTCAAAATTTAGGCCAAGTCACATTTTTAGGGGAACCGTTACAATATCATGACATTGAACAATGCAGAGTCACTGAATTCGGTATTTAAGAAAGATCGTCATGCATTGAATGAGAGTATTAGGAAAATGCTGCAAAAATGATTTTATAAGAGGCGTGTAAATGCACAGAACTGTACAAGCTCTCTAAAGCCAATAATTGAATAAAAATTGTATAAAAATGTTGATAAAGTCAAGAGGTTTGTTATCTAGCCGATGGACCAATTCATGTATTATGTGAGGACAAAAAGCTTGAATTATACTTCTAACTTGGATGAAATTTTTTTTACATGTAGACTGTTTCAATTAGAACATTTATCGTGCGAGCATGCAGTAAATGCGATGCACTTGAATTATTGGCCTTAGAGTGCTTGTACAACTCTATATATTAATAGGCTTCTTACAAAATCATTTCTACAACAATACTCTCAATCAATGCAATCATCATATTTTGTAGATCTTTCTTAAACATCGAATTCAGTGGCTCTTCATTGTTCGATATCATGATATTGTAACGGATCCCCTAAAAGTGTAACTTGATCCAAATTTGCAAACTTGCTTTGACTAAGTATTCCCAGGCTTTATTTTGAGCCACATTATTTTGAAAAAAAAATGTATTTTGAAATAGTAGATTGATGGAGAATGTGTCGTTGAAAAATAAGGAAAAATTATTGATGTGATGAAAAATATTATTTTATTGAAAAATGTTTAGTTGAAAATGAGTAAAAGAATGAGAATGAAAATTTTAATGTGGCTCAAACATGATGCAATTCTCTTAATTTCACTCATATAATTTCTAAACTCTTCTAAAATATATGCTTTACTGCTTTCTTAAATAGTAGGAAAATCTTTGTTTTTTTAGTTACGTTCCTTAAATTGTCTCATATATGTATGATAGAGACAATGACCATGATGAGCATTTTAATAGAAAATTTTTACTCCATTGATAATACTTTGACATCGATCAAATATAACAAGATCTTCAATATTCCACGTTACTTCTTTCAACTTTGTAAAAAACCAAGTTCACGATACATTATTCCCGAAATCAACTATCCTCCAAGCAAGTGGATAAATCTGAATATTTGCATCTTAGCAAGTTACAACAATCAACGTACCTTTATATTTCATGGTTAGAAATGTTATATCAACAACAACTACCTTCCGCATTGAAGTGTGAAATCCGCAAATGCAAGTTCCAAGGGTCATAAAAAAGTACTTGAAGCGATTTCCATCATCAATCTGTAAAGATAATGATGTTCCACGTTTAGATCTAACCAGGTTATGAGAATAAAAAGCCCAATTTAGCATAACTATGTTTGGAGGAACCTCTCAAAATTTCCAAATCACATTCTCGTGACTTCCATACCCTTTGATAAGTCATGTCTGCCCCGAATTCTCCACGTCTTTAAAGACGTCTATATACAGTGTTGATATTTTGAAAGTTAGGCATTATATGTCTTCCAACAACCCACGATCTTGCTTGTCTATAATCATTTCGACGAATACTCACAGAACATGTATGTTCACGTGCATATTTGTGAACTTGAAAGTAATCACAATTTTTTAATTTAGATACTCGCAGATGTCTTTTGCAATTTTCATATATGCAAACAATTATACATGCTTCCTTGTTTGATTTCTTCACTCTAAATTCAATGATGTACTTCATGGCAAGCATCGTCTTCCAATTCATGAAATGAATCATTATCTTCTTCTTGTGAATGCTCAACTGGACCTTTGCTCACAAAGGGTTACACAAATGGAACAATGAAAATCTTTTTTGTTGAGAGATAGCATACACTGCACCTGCCTATTTGATATAATTTTGATTGAAACTTAAAACTGTTCATTTGTATATAAAAAAATATGGTTGCAATTTAATGCAAAGATGAATTAACATTGCAAAGATCTAGCATTTCACAATATAGATTATGATATGAAGTAATTGAAGATATTGGAACTCCTTCAACCATTTCATAACTCCCACTTTGTATTGACGTCCATTTTCTTTGATCATCATTAACAAAGTCGCCAAAATAGAGTATAGCAATTCATTTTTTTTTAGTCCACATCTGTAAATTAGAATAATAAGACTTTATAATGTTAACAAGGCTAAGTAGCACAAAACGTCCCTACCTTTGGGGTGAATTTCGGAAATCGTCCTTACCTTTCATTTCTTGGCATTTATGCCCTTACCTTAGGGGTTTTGGTGCGCTGAACATCCTT